TCGTCACACGATTGTGCCGGTAATATAGATGTGGAACCTAGGATCACTGTAAGAAATGGGTAAAAAAAGCTTATCCCGGTTTCCTTAGCATGAAGCATGCCCAGGAGTATTGCTACTCCCTCCCTGGACGGGACGCTAGTCCATCGCAGGGTTACCCCTCAGCAAAGACAAACTGGAGTAGAGTTCCTTGTCCAAAGAAACAACGCGACAGGCGAGGCTTGAACCTGGGACGCCAGTTCTGGAGTTCCAGGTGTTAACCTCTCGCCCATACTCGTCTCCACGCTGTGGGAAATACCAATTAATTAAAGCCATAACAAAATACTACTACTACTACTACTACTACTAATAATAATAATGGTTTATTAACAGAACCACTAGGTGGCTCTTCCCTGTTAAAGTACATCCATTATTATTATAAATAAATCAAATTAAATTATTTACAAATTATGCAATATACAATTAAAAATAGAAGCAGGATTAACAGAATCGAAATTACAGTGAAACTAACTAATCACTCTGTACTCTGTTACATAAAAAAAATCCTTGAAAGTCTTAAAAAGGTTCTGTAATCTTTACAGTTTATAGTTTCTAGTAGATTGTTAAATACCTTCGACGCATTATCTTGGAAAGCGCCGTTTTCGGTCGGGACCACTAATCTAAGACAGATATCAAAAAGCAATGATCTAGTTAGTTTTACCTCTATGTGCTCCACGCTTCTTGTAAAACCGCTCTGAATCTGACACGAAGTTTTCTGGTTTGGCTTCCTTTGTTCTGTTATTAATTTCACAGATGTTATCTTTTATTACGTTGTTATAGCTCTGGCATCTGATTTTATGGTGGCAGTAATACAAGCATTCAAACGTGCTTGAGTTATGTAAAGTCGTGAAGGTGTATCCTTTTAATGCCTTGCCACAAACTAATTCTTCTGACGGGCATTGGTCAGAGCTATGACACATCCGGAGTGATAAAATGAAAAAGATCGAAGCAACAAAGAACAGACAGCTTAGATGCATGGCGCTGTGGGAAAATGATTGGAAAAGAATTCCAAATCAACCTTAAATTAACAAATGGCAAACTGGTCAGAATGCACTATTGAGTTATAGTACGCACGCAGGAGGTTGCTCCGCATGAAAGAAGCGCACGAGGCGATAGCCGAGTCTAGCTTCTCGAGTGCTTAGCAATCCTCCCAAGTACAACTATACGCCACTTCCACATCTCCCATAGTGCACCTTTTCATTCGAAGCAAATTTTTCTTCCTTTTCATTGGCCGAGAGCCCACCACGTGACCTGCAAATAACTGCCTACAAATAATGGTCTGCTCATGCGCAATGCAATCCAACTGTCTTTGGCTGCAAATAATATTCTGCGTAACGTGCTTTTCTCCTTCTTGCGATCGCTTTTGCGTGAAAATGGCAGTTCGATTCGCTTCCAGAATATATTCATTAAAAAAACAAACTCGGTGATCGAATGATAAAACAATTATTGAACTCGGTTAGCGCAAAATATCGTGATTTGTCAGTGTCTCTCAGATCAATTATTTGCCTCAGCCTTCGGCTTCGACAAATAATTGATCTATTCGCCACAGACAAATCACGATATTTTGCTCAACCTCCTCCAATAACAGTTAATTATTTGCCCCCTTCAACATCATCATTACCATTACCACCATTATCGTCTTCATTATCATCATACCATTTTCATAGCATAGTCATTAAAAATTAATTTAAATTGAAAAATAATTAAAAACTAAATCCTTGCGCTTACGAGCTCATAAGGAAAGCGATCTACTGGAGCCCACAAACGAGCTAATTTGGATATAAACTGCAATTGTAGTCCAGTCAAAAGATTTCTCTCTTAATAGGCGAGGAAGATATAGGTTAATCTTTTGTAACTCACCCAGTTAGTAAGAATTCACTGTCAGTATTGAATTATGCCCGGTTACTGAACCACTGGCCAATGCCAGCTCTTATAACAAGAGCCTTTGTATTTCACGAAGGGTTACTAATATGGGAAAGAGGAGAAAAAAAGTTTACCTAGGCAGCGTCGCCTGGGCTTCTTAACAGTACTGGCTCATTTGTGGTGAGTCAACAGGATCAAACAGGGCCAAGAATAAGGCTTGACTTAATTTCCAAGAAAGTTTGAATTTAATTTCAGGTTAAAGGTAGTTCAAAGATACTAAATCCTTTAAGTGTTTAAATTATCACGCATATTTAGGCTGAGGTGATATTTTCAGTTGTTAAGCACGAACGAATTGCTTAATCTCTATCTCTGATACGTATTTGTTGTCATACTCTTGTATCATCTTAATATTTACTTGTCAACCCTACACGCCTGGCAGCAAAGTAACATAGAAAAACACGCTATGGGCTAATCAAGATTTTAAAGTTGGCCAAGGTAGGGGGATTGTTTCTGACAATAAGAACTTCCGCCAAAAAAATCTCCTGCCAACAATAGAGCGAGATTACCCCCAGGATCGATGTTACACATAATGCAATAATTTTTATACTATAAACAAGAATAACAAAACAAATGATATAAATGAAAACCCCGTCGTTTTTAAATCTTTAACTTCAGTCTCCTTAATCAAAGTCGAAATTGTTTAGTCAACACTCTGTTGGAGGTTTTGTTGTATGTTATGATGTTCCTTGGCAACCTTTGATGGGCTATATTTTTTTTATGTAAGTCATTGTTGTTGTTATTTACGTCAGGTTTTCAGTAGTTTTCAGTCCCAAAGGAAATTCCCAGAGCAAAGAAATGCAAGCTGCCGACAGCACTTGGCTATAAGCTTAAAAGAATTACAATTGTTCAAGTTATTGTCGTGACGATTTCACACAAAACACTGGGGGTACAAATTACACCAGCCAAGTTTTCAAATTAGGTCTGTACTGATTCTCAAAGGATTTAGCGTTTACGTTTTCGAGACCTTCGGCTTCGGCCTAGGGTACAAAACAAAACAATTTATTTCTATTGTAATCACCTAGTATTGTTATCCAAAATATGTCAGAAATATTCTCCAAATTTGATTCACGAACTTTATTGCGATTAGTCGCTGAGTACGTGATTCAGTGCGAGTCAATAACTAATACAGTGACTTTTTTCATTTGCGTCAACTTTACTGAGTTGCTGTGTTTGTCCTTTAATGCGGACATTGGATCAAACAAGAAGTAGCGTTGACTAGGTGTTTCAAAAAGAGTAAGGAATTGACCTGACAAGTGAATGCAATTCAACTACGATAGCTACCTTTAGTTCAGTGTTAATACTAAAATCCAGAGTTGAAGGATTTTAACTATAAGAGAAGTCATTCTCTTACCTAGTCGTGTGTTGGGCTCCTCCTTGGGTATTCATTTATTTTGAAGGTGAAATCTTTACCATCTTATACAATATTTACGTTGACAGGGTAAATATTTTCGTATTGTTAATCTTTCATTATTGCTTTGCACTATTTTTTCTAATAACACCTGTTAAAACCTCTGATGTGACAATTTGCTTTTTTTTAAGAAATCGAAATATAAAAGCGATCTATCGGTTATAAATAAAACCGTTAGTCTCTGATTCCAAATATAAAACTGAGGCTTTAAACCCAAAGATCCAAATTTGAATTCTCATTTGCTGCCTCTATTCACTTCCTACGGAAGTAGTGGGGAGAAGTCCTCTAAAACAGCATACTGCCCAAGTACGTAGCCCGTGAATGTTGTTTGAACTCTTTGTAGACGTTTCATTTGTTATTCTGTAAATGCATAGAAGACGACACACCCTGGTACATTTAAAAGCTGTGGAATATCACTTTAAACTATTGGGGATTTTTTGCATTATCATGTATGTATATTTAGCCTTGTTCAAGAGAAAAACTATTAAAATTGCTTTTGGGTCTGATTCAGTTGATTGTTTCGACGTCTAATCCAACAGAAGATATTAACTTAATTTAGGTCGACCCAAATTAGAGTTTGCATGGTTCGTCTCATGAAAAGTTCGATGTTTGGCCTAGGTGAGTTCGACGTTGGACCAAGGCCAATCGTCTCTTCCGTGAGTACACCTTCAAAGTCTCACGCTAAAGCCCTGCTTGTATTGGTGATAAAATACGCACAGATCCACGAGAGGGAGCTGGAGTGAACCAGCACCAGCACAAAAGTTGCACCAATATCAGTTAGAGGGGCTGTGTGACGGCATTCCAGTTCATTTTGTTTAATTTTGCCAATTACTCGCCCTCAATTGCTATGGAACTTAAAGTAAGCAAAGAAATTACATGTAAATGATAAAATCAGAGATCCAAGACAAACAAATATGTCTCCTGAGCATTATTTTTGAAGTTCAACAAGGATCAACTTTGAAAAACTGTTACCGTAGGCTGAACAGTTTTCAAAAAGCCTTAAATTTCAATCCGTTTCAATCTTGTAACCTTCCTTTAAAGTTTTAAGCGGTTATTATTATGTTTATCTCAATTTAAGGGGCATTTTGTAATTTCCTAATTTGGCTGAATTTCGTGACCCAGCTCCCTTAACATTTCCTTATTAGCAGATATGGATGGTGACGCGGGTCGTTAAACACTAGGAGTTTGATTTATCTTTGTTAAAAGTTACAGTATTTTCATTTTTTTCAAGGTTCGAGTCTTCAATGTGTGATTTACAGCAACAGAAAGTATATATTATCATTATTGCAGATAACATTAATGTACGTTGCGATTAGCTGTCAGGGGAAACCTCAATTTGTGCAAAAGGGGATTCTCACCTCTTGGTGATAGATTATAAAAAAAAGAATTTGACCAAAAACGGAAGTGCACTAGCCTAAGGGTGGTCTATCGTGCGTTATAATCACTTAATAAGTGAAACAGAGTGTAGTTTGTTATGTAAAATAGAATTCAACCCATAGCTATGCAAAAACCAAAGAACTTCTACAGTTTCCTACAATGTCACTATTGACACCGACCACAGGTCAATTTGTGCCTCATACCACCTTGGAAATTTTGAAAATTCCCTCGGAAATAGGGGCTGAGCAGCTTAGTTCTAGTATAAGGAACGAAAGTACAGAGTCAGTGCAACACTAGTTCGTGGCTTAGTACAGTTCTGGTCATAAAGTGTATCTACGCCTTTCCAGCCATAATTCACATTATCCTTATTAGAGCAAATGCCAAGGCCAAAACTCAGGGACGAATAGCAATAGTAGTTGTTGTCATCAAGCAGGATCGATTTGATGCCATATTGCTTACGGTACATGAATGAATCTTGAGTTCTCCCTGGTGAATTACCACTCAACACGTCTGGTGCCCATTCTTGCCGATTTAACACGTCCCGATAATAGGTGAGCTGGTGATCATGGAATGCGCGCCAAACTGCATGAGCAACATCATTGCTGGAGTTGAAACGCCACTTGTACGTGGTGTTTTCCGAGTCAACTGCAAGCATCTCAGTAGAGTCTTCCACTGCTGACCAGGGAAGGCGTCCAAAACAGTAGGGATCAGTTGAGTTGCAGTGACCAAAGTCGTACTTGAGCACGTCGTCTTCCCAGTAGGGCCAAGCAGTGTTAGCGTCATACCACCAAAATGCCGTCCATTGTACTTCCTCGCAATGTTCGCCTTCAGCGATCGGAGGACACTGACAAGCGTAGCGGTCATTCTCATACACCGGAACACACGTTCCACCATTTCTACAGGGTTTCTGATCACATGGACTCAATGTAAAGTATAAAATGACAAAAATTAAAATCATTATATAAAAAAATAGGTAGAAAACAATTATTTCCAGGGTGATTTCAGAAAGAAAACCATTCTGCAAACAGAATTGCAGCAAAACGACTTCTTGCCTGGTTTCAGTTATAATTTGCGTTTAAGTCATATCGCGCAAAGTAACATCTCCTTTCACCTAAAATTGTCCGCTCTTTAGATTATATATACGCAGATATGCAATTCAATTACAGAAAATTTGAAAGGAACGGTTCTTTAGAGTATTATCACCTGACCTGTATTGTGGAAACAAAACTTACAAGCCAAAGAGGTCTATTACGTTACGACTCAGTGATTCTAAGTCGCGGATGGCTTCATACCCAAATAAGGACACCACCCATACAAATAAAAAATGACATCGTAACCACGTAAGGATAAGACACATATAATTAAAAATAAACTATCATATAATAAAAACCGGTTAAATAAAACTAGAACATGACAAATAGGTTAAAACCGGTCAAGGCTACGTGACTCTATTGTTTCTATTGTATTAGGAATACGGAAGATAAAAGATAATGAGATTATAATTCCTGGGCATTTCATTTACGAGATAAAGACAACAGGCAATGACGTCATCGGCGTTAATGTATTCCCCTTCAAATTAATGAGATTCCCCCTCAAAAAACGGTTTATTCGGTCCCTATACCACTACTGAGATCTAAAAGATTTCAATGACAGCTGAAAAATCGCTAAAATGTTAACCGTAAAAATTAACAGATAAGGAAAAATAATGAAAACAGCCGTTTTAGATTTTCTGCAAAGCGTAGGTGATTCAAAGATCTCAAACAAAAAAATCTTCAAACAAATTCATTACCTGAACATATAGGACAATAATTTTATAATTCTAAAATAAAAGTCAGCAAATTACGTTTTATACCTTTTGCAATGTTATTCATGTCACAGTAAGTCAAGATAGCTTCTTCAGTACCATTAGGGTTTGAAAGCCTCCAATTACCATTGACTGCATCTCGGCCTTCACTGATTTTGATTTCGTCACACGATTGTGCCGGTAATATAGATGTGGAACCTAGGATCACTGTAAGCGTGAATGGGTAAAAAAAGGTATGGCGCACACGAGCCTAAGGCCAAACGTCCATAGCTTATCCCGATTTCCTTAGCATGAAGCATGCCCAGGAGTATTGCTACTCCCCCCTGGACGGGACGCTAGTCCATCGCAGGGTTACCCCTCAGCAAAGACAAACTGGAGTACAGTTCCTTGTCCAAAGAAACAACGCGACGGGCGAGGCTTGAACCCCGGACACCAGTTCTGGAGTTCCAGGTCTTAACCGCTCGCCCACACTCGTCTCCACGCTGTGGGAAATACCGTTTAATTAAAGCCATAACAAAGTAATAATAACAATTATAATCATAATAATAATAGTAATAATAATAATAATAATGGTTTATTAACAGAACCACTAGGTGGCTCTTCCCTGTTAAAGTACATCAATTATTATTATAAGTAAATCAAATTAAATTATTTCCAAATTATGCAATTTACAATTAAAAATAGAAGCAGGATTAACAGAATCGAGATTACAGTGAAACTAACTAATCACTCTGTACTCTGTTACATAAAAAAAATCCTTGAAAGTCTTAAAAAGGTTCTGTAATCTTTACAGTTTATAGTTTCTAGTAGATTGTTAAATACCTTCGACGCATTATCTTGGAAAGCGCCGTTTTCGGTCGGGACCACTTATCTAAGACAGATATCTAAACGCAATGATCTAGTTAATTTTACCTCTATGTGCTCCACGCTTCTTGTAAAACCGCTCTGAATCTGACACGAAGTTTTCTGGTTTGGCTTCCTTTGTTCTGTTATTAATTTCGCAGATATTATCTTTTATTACGTAGTTATAGCTCTGGCATCTGAGTTTATGGTGGCAGTAACACAAGCATTCAAACGTGCTTGAGTTATGTAAAGTCGTGAAGGTGTATCCTTTTAATGCCTTGCCATAAACTAATTCTTCTCACGGGCATTGGTCAAAGCTATGACACATCCGGAGTGATAAAATGAAAAAGAACGAAGCAACAAAGAACAGACAGCTTAGATGCATGGCGCTGTGGGAAAATGATTTGAAAAGAATTCCAAATCAAACTTAAATTAACAAATGGCAAACTGGTCAGAATGTACTATTGAGTTATAGTAGGCACGCAGGAGGTTGCTCCGCACGAAAGAAGCGCACGAGGCGATAGCCGAGTCTAGCTTCTCGAGAGCTTAGCAATCCTCCCAAGTACAACTATACGCCACTTCCACATCTCCCATAGTGCACCTTTTCATTCGAAGCAATTTTTTCTTCCTTTTCATTGGCCGAGACCCCACCACGTGACCAGCAAATAACTGCCTGCAAATAATGGTCTGCTCATGCGCAATGCCGTCCAACTGTGTTTGGCTGCAAATGATATTCTGCACATGCGTAAACGAAACCGTGCTTTTCTCCTTCTTGCGATCGCTTTTGCGTGAAAATGGCAGTTCGCTTCGCTTCCCGAATATATTCATTAAAAAAACAAACTCGGTGATCGAATAATGAAACAATTATTGAACTCGGTTATCGCAAAATATCGTGATTTGTCAGTGTCTCTCAGATCAATTATTTGCCTCAGCCTTCGGCTTCGACAAATAATTGATCTATTCGCCACAGACAAATCACGATATTTTGCTCAACCTCGTCCAATAATTGTTAATTATTTGCCCCGCTTCAATATCATCATTATCATCACCATCATTGTCGTCTTCATCATCATCATATCATTTTCATACCATAGTCATTAAAAATTAATTGAAATTGGGAAAATAATTAAAAACTAAATCCTTCGCTTACGAGCTCATAAGGAAAGCGATCTACCGGAGCCCACAAACGAGCTAATTTGGATATAAACTGCAATTATAGTCCAGTCAAAAGATTTCTCTCTTAATAAGCGAGGAAGATATAGGTTAATCTTTTGTAATTCACCCAGTTAGTAAGAATTCACTGTCAGTATTGAATTATGCCCGGTTAATGAACGCCTGGCCAATGCCAGCTCTTATAACAAGAGCCTTTGTATTTCACGAAGGGTTACTAATATGGGAAAGAGGAGAAAAAAAGTTTACCTAGCCGGCGTCGCCTGGGCTACCTAACAGTACTGGCTCATTTGTGGTGAGTCAACAGGATCAAACAGGACCAAGAATAAGCCTTGACTTAATTTCCAAGAAAATTTGAATTTACTTTCAGGTTAAAGGTAGTTCAAAGATACTAAATCCTTTAAGTGTTTAAATTATCACGCATATTTAGGCTGAGGTGATATTGTCAGTTGTTAAGCACGAATGAATTGCTTTAATAATCTGTGATACGTATTTGCTGTCATACTCGCGTATCATCTTAATATTTACTTGTCAACCATAGACGCCTGGCAGCAAAGTAAAATAGAAAAACACGCCATGAGCTAATCAAGATTTTAAAGTTGGCCAAGGTAGGGGGATTGTTTCTGACAATAAGAACTTCCGCCAAAAAAATCTCCTGCCAACAATATGGCGAGATTACCCCCAGAATCGATGTTACACATAATGCAATAATTTTTATACTATAAACAAGAATAACAAAACAAAACATAATAAATGATATAAATGAAAACCCCGTCGTTTTTAAATCTTTAACTTCAGTCTTCTTAATCAAAGTCGTAATTGTTTAGTCAACACTCTGTTGGAGGTTTTGTATATTATGATGTTTCTTGGCAACCTTTGATGGGCTATATTTTTTTTATGTAAGTAGTTGTTTTGTTATTTACGTCAGGTTTTCAGTAGTTTTTTAGTCCCAAAGGAAATTCCCAGAGCAAAGAAATGTAAGCTGCCGACAGCACTTGGCTATAAGCTTAAAAGAATTACAATTGTTCAAGTTATTGTCGTGACGATTTCACATAAAACACTCGGGGTACAAATTACACCAGCCAAGTTTTCAAACTAGGTCTGTACTGATTCTCAAAGGATTTAGCGTTTGCGTTTTCGAGAACTTCGGCTTCGGCCTAAGGTACAAAACGAAAGAATTTATTTCTGTTGTAATCACCTAGTATTGTTATCCAAAATATGTCAGAAATATTCTCCAAATTTGATTCACGAACTTTTTTGTGATTAGTCGCTGAGTACGTGATTCAATGCGAGTCAATAACTAATACAGTGACTTTTTTCATTTGCGTCAACTTTACTGAGTTGCTGTGTTTGTCCTTTAATGCGGACATTAGATCAAACAAGAAGTCGCGTTGACTAGGTGTTTCAAAAAGAGAAAGGAATTGACCTGACAAGTGAATGCAATTCAACTGCGATAGCTGCCTTTAGTTCAGTGTTAATACTAAAATCCAGAGTTGAAGGATTTTAACTATAAGAGAAGTCATTCTCTTACCTAGTCGTGTGTTGGGCTCCTCCTTGGGTATTCATTTACATTGAAGGTGAAATCTTTACAAAATCTTTACCAACTTATACAATATTTATGTTGATAAGGTAAATATTTTCGTATTGTTAATAATCCATTATTGCTTTGCACTATTTTTCTATTTACACCTGTTTAATCTGTGATGTGACAATTTGCTTAATTTTTTTTTAAGAAATCGAAATATAAAAGCGATCTATCGGTTATAAATAAAACCGATAGTCTCTGATTCCAAATCTAAAACTGAGGCTTTAAGCGTGTATATAATATGGAGCCAAGGGCGGTTCTCACCAACAAGGGGAAAAGACTGAAATTTGCAAAAGCTTAAAGCAACTTTTACTGTTAAAAGGTGAAATACGACAAATTTGCCGTTATTTCACTAAACCTTTTAGAACTCTTCTGAAAGTGTTATACTTCTAAAAACTATAAAAACTGTTTTTATCGTCAGCGTCACATGTTTTGCTAGCATTTTTTTTTTCGGGTTTGAGGAGTTTTCAACAAAAAGGAGATCAACATTTTAAGAAAAATGAATTAGGCAAGTATTGAATGCATTCATCTTTTGCCCATGTTGCACCTACAGTAAGTGTAATCCCGGCAATTGCTGTCAATTCACTTTCATGCCATGTAATCAATAACTAAATCGCTTCATAGAATAGTCTATAATCTGGGAAATATGCAAACACTTGCAATTGATCACCAAAACATTCAGCCAAATCAGCTTGTAAGACGGCGAAACGTCTTGATACAAGATTTAATTTTTTTTTTTACGGATCGATTGAAATCCTTATCTTCTAAGATATTTATTCTAGTAGTTCCTTTTTAGATATTTCAGGTCCCAAAAATGGTTTATTTAAGAAAATGGCAAAAAAGCAGAATTACATATTTAAATAAGTTACAGTCCATATCCTGATGGCGACATTAAGATTGACAGACTTGGTTCCTCAAATTATAACTCCAATCTACCTAATAATGATAATAATAATAATAATAATAATAATAATAATAATAATAATAATAATAATAATAAGGAGTTTATTAGTAGTACTTCCACGAGGTGGCTCTTCGCCTACTAATGCCCTAACTACAGTATCATTACAAAACCTTAAGCCGGTTTTAAATTTGAAATGGTGTATAAAATAACAATAAGTACAGCAAGCTAAAAGGAAAGTCGCATAATAGACATAAAAGGCAAAAAATCGAGATTGATTATGTACAATTAAAAGAAAGTGAGGTCAAAAATGATAATAATAATAATAATAAAATCAGTCATACGCTTTATTCTTCGGAGAACATAAGCTTGTTCGCTAACCTAACGAATTTGTTGTAGTCAGTCTCTTGCCTTAATTTATCAAGTAACGTATTAAATAATCTCACTGCTGAGTCCTGAAAAGTGCCGCTTTTAGTTGGAATAGCCAACTGGTGATTCAAGGGATCTTAAGTTTTAGGCACTGTATGGAATTTAAGAAAGTAAGTAATCAGGCCAAACATCATCGTAGAGGGCTTTATGAGTGATTTTCAAAAGTCCCAGGTCTCTCCTTTTAATAATTGGATGTCAGTTTAATTTCTGCAAATCCTCTAAAACAGCATACTGCCCGCGAATGTTGTTTGAACTCTTTTCAGCCGTTTCATTTGGTATTCTGGAAGGAGATGGAAGACGACACACCCTGGCACATTTGGAAGCTGTGAAATATTACTTTAAGCTATTGGGGATTGTTTCAATGAGAAAACTCGTAGCTATAGATTGAGAGATTTTGGCACCTTAATGAAATTGCCCGGCTCGCAGGCACAGTAACCGGGTGAACTTGCGGCATAATTTGTTCTGGTCAGGGACGTAGCTTCCATTTACGAAAAGACGCCGGAACGTGCGTATAGCTGAAATGTGAAAAAAGAAATCTTTTTCTACTTCCTGAAAGCATTTTTATCATTCATAGGGGATGATTAATAAATGTTCCCCATTATATTTGTGTCTTTTCTGAAGGAGCACGCCTCCAGATCCCCCTTGCTTGGAGTGCCTTTGGAGCTCTGAGACCTAAGCCAAATCTCGAACTTTTTATGAGACGAACCAAACTTAGTTGGTTAAATTCATAAATCAGATTAAATCACTGGTTTTAATTATTGTCCCTTTTGCAGTAAGAAGAGTGAATTGTAGGATACGTTACAAGCTTGGTATATATACTAATACGCTACATTTATTGACAAGATTAATATTCAACGCTAACAAAATTTGAGAAACGTTCAATCCTTGTGGCCATGGGCCTGCTAGAACTCCCTGATCTTAGACACACACTGGTAGATATAGGTACCACTCTGTTGTGTATTAGTGGGTATAATGGGTTACCTGGCCGAACCTTACCTATAAATTTAATACACGAGACTGCCGACGGTCAGAAAGATGCAGCTTTGTCAAGTGCTGTTTCATACGAAATACCAGGCCGAATGATGGAAAGGGCGGCCCTTTCTTGCACGTTCTCAAGATGGCAAGTCAGCCAAGGCAGCAGAGGCGTGCTGTAGTATAAAGCGAATTAGCGTGCAGTAGATTTTAACAATATCAGCCGACTGAACTTTGCAATTCTTGAGTTGTCTAAGTGTATAAAGCCGTCTGTTGGCCTTCTTCACGATGTAGTCACAGGGGAATGCCTAAGTGAGGTCCTCAGTAAGATGGACACCGAGGAGCTTAAATCTAGAGACCTGCTCAATTTCGGACCCACCAACCGCGATTGGGCGCGGCACGCAACTATTGTCGTGTAGAAAGTCAACAGTCAAGATCTTGCATTTGCGGGGGTTTAGGTGCATATTGTTGTCAACAACGAAAGCGTGGATATAATCAACTACTAAATTCAATAAGGATGGCGAGTTGCGAGGTACAACCTCGAAAACCGTCAGATCATCTACGAATTTAATGCAAGCGCCCCAACTTTGAACAAGATCATAAAGGTCATAGATATAAAGGAGCTGAAACCGAGGGGCAAACGCGTGTGACCTGAGCTCCCACTTGCAAAAAGGATGCGACTCACCTAAGCACGCTCCAGTGGAGATTGTACTGTGTAGAAAGCTTCTCCGTTAATATAAGGTGATCACTAAGGTCAAAACATTTTTTAAAATCAGAAAAAAATAACCTTAGATAGCAACCGCCCCTGTCCAGGGCTTCCAAGGCCAGGTGTAAAAGATAGACAAGGGCCTGCTCGGTTGATTTACCAGCCACCGCGAATTGGTTTCTATCGAGGTTGCCTACAATAGATGGATTTAATCTAGCTAATGTGAACCCTCCAGCACTTTAGCGAGCTGGCATGTGAGAGAGGTTGGTCTCACATCGTCTTCGATGCACTTCGATATATTGTTCATGAAATATTCGACGTCTGGCTCAGTTATGTTCGCCTAAATGAGTTTGGATCTTCGAACACGTTCTATCCGTCTGCTTCAGACGGACAGAACGTGAAGAAGATCGTCTCCGGGACAAACTTCGATATTTGCGTGCGACGAACTAAACCGATGAGTTAAAACTTTGTATGATAATGTATATTTAGCCTTGTTCAAGAGAAAAAATATTAAAATTGCTTTTTGGTCTGATTCAGTTGATTGGTTCGACGTCAAACCCAACAGAAGATATTAACTTAATTTACGTCGACCCAAATTAGAGTTTGCATGGTTCGTCACATGAAAAGTTCAATGTTTGGCCTAGGCCTTCGACGTTGGGCCAAGGCCAATCGTCCCTTCCGTGAGTACACCTTCAAAGTCTCACGCTAAACCCCTGATTGTATTGGTGATAAAATACGTACAGATCCACGAGAGGGCGCTGGAGTGAACCAGCAGCAGCACAAAAGTTGCACCAATATCGGTTAACCCTTCCTTATTAGCAGAAATGGATGGTGACGCGGGTCGTTAAGCACTAGGAGTCTCATTTATCTTTGTTAAAAGTTAGAGTATTTTCAATTTTTTCAAGGGTTGAGTCTCCAATGTGTGATTTACAGCAACAGAAAATATATATTATCATTGTTGCAGAGAAAATTAATGTATGTTGCGATTAGCAGTCAGAAGAAACCTCAATTTGTCCAAAAGGGGAATCTCACCTCTTAGTGATATATTATAAAAGAAAGAATTTTAGCAAAAACGGAAGTACACTAGGATGGTCAATCGTGCATTATAATCATTTAAGTGAAAACAGAGTGTGGTTCGTTATGTATAATAGAATTCAAACCATTAGCTATACAAAAACTAGTAAACTTCTACAGTTTCCTACAGCGTCACTATTGACACGGACCAGTCATCAAATTGTGCCTCATGCTACCCTAAACATTTTGACTATTCACTCGGAAAAGGGTTCTGAGCAGCTTTGGTCTAGTATAAAGAACGAAAGTACAGAGTCAGTCCAACACCAGCTCGTGGCATATTACAGTATGGGTCATAAAGTGTATCCACGCCTTTCCTGTAAGAACTCCCATCATCGAAACACAGGCGACGGCCAAAACTCAGAGTCGATTTGCAATTGCAGTTGTCGTCATCAAGCAGAATCGATCTGATACCATGTTGCTCACGGTACATGAATGAATCTTGAACTCTAACTGGTGAATTACCACTCAACACATCTGGTGCCCATTCTTGCCCATTTAACACGTCCTGATAATAGGTGAGCTGGTGATCATGGAATGCGTGCCAGACTGCATGAGCAACGTCATTGCTGGAGTTGAAACGCCATTTGTAAATAGTGTTTTCCGAGTCAACAGCAAGCATCTCAGTGGAGTCTTCCACCGCTGACCAGGGAAGGCGTCCAAAACAGTAGGGATCCGTCGAATTGCAGTGACCAAAGTCGTACTTGAGCACGTCTTCTTCCCAGTCGGGCCAAGCAGTGTTAGCGTCATACCACCAAAATGCCGTCCATATTACCTCCTCACAATCTTTGCCTTCAATGATCAATTTTGGACACTCACAAGCGTAGCTGTCATTCTCATACACCGGAACACACGTTCCACCATTTCTACAGGGTTTCTGATCACATGGACTCTAATATAAAGTATAAAATGACAAAAAATAAAATCATTATATAAAAAATAGGTAGAAAACAATTATTTCTTGGGTGATTTCAGAAAGAAAACCATTCTGCAAACAGAATTGTAGCCAAAGGACTTCTTGCCTGGTTTCAGTTATAGGAGCAAAATTTGTGTTTAAGCCATATCGCGCAAAGTAACATCTCCTTTCTCCTAAAATTGTTGGCTCTTTAGGATATTGCACATTGGGCTTATGATCGCGATTAATGGTTAAAGGTACCATCACTTTGTGTTACTAATTAAGAACTCTTGAACAATGTGATGAGATATCAAAGAATAAATCTGACTATCAAGCCTTTTAGATATGTCGCACGAACGCTCACTTAGGGCACTTCATACGACTTCCAAAATAAAAAAACTTGCCCCGTTATATTGATTTTCCCCTGGGTGTGCCAGATTCTAGACAAATTGTGAAAATAAATTGTTATATAACGTTTGGCTTTTGGGGACTTCAAAACGTACTAAGCTTTGATCATGGTGAGGAAGTCGTGTTAAGGAGGCTTGCATCCATTTTTTAAGGTCTCAGCTCACCCCTTCGTGTTTGAAGCTCCAAAGTAAAACAGCATGTCTGACATTGAACTTTATTTTAGAGTATGTTTTGTTGACATCTCTTCCAGAGCAACAGAATAACGATGACATGAAGTACACGAATTTCTCGAAATCAAGAGTCAATGCTTTTGCCCCAATTCAATGTCTTTTCCACTTTTTGTTTTTTCATCAACAAAAATGACGATTTACCGCGTCGGTACAATCCAAATTCATCTACCAGGCTTAAGGTGTGGTTCAATTCTTTCAATAGTGAAATTTGGCAAGCAATCACTCTTTGCGATCACACATATTGCTATTCTTACTCATAAGATACATTTGCTCCTGTAAGCGCAAAAAGGTGTCATCTTTGGTTTTAAAAACGCAGTTTAATCTTTTCTTACTTTTTTTTTCCAAAAAAAAATAGTTTCTTTCAGAGTTTAATCATTGTAATTAGCATTTTAGTGAAATTCAGTCAAAGCCATTGACAATTGTTACGTTACTGAAATAACATCGAATTCATGTTGTTTGCGCCTAGTTTTGTTACGGCCATTGTTATAATGGTTTACTCGTTTAAGGTTATATCTCCTGTTTGTTTGTTTGTTTGTTTGTTTGTTTCCACGTATTTGCCTCAGCAAGCTAGACCACGGTCTGTGCACTGCTTCTTTCACACCCTAGTGATTCTCTTTCCAACGATTCGATTATTCAGATAACTCAACCTTCTTGTTGTTAATTATCAGAGTAGAAAATGGCTGGCCAAAAATTTTCAAACAAGAGGAACTTCGCGAAACTGACATCGCAGCCGCAGTTTAACCATTTTCCATCGAAAAAGAGCCTTCTTAGCACACTTTTACTCTTTACTCAAAGCAGACTTTCTTAAGACCTTGAGAGACGACTGTAAACATGAAAAAGAAACTTCAGCCTCTTCCCTCACTCTTTACAAGTAACATCAATGGTCAACATGTTAGTCCGGGAGCTACTGCGTGGGAATTGAGTCTTTCTACGCAGTTTTTCACTGCGCTAAGGCAACAACGAAATATCTTATTTCACCTCTTGCTGCCCCTCACTGTTGCCACTTGCAGTTTACACAGCAAGCTTGAACTAGTAAAATTTGTTAAGGAAAATATTATTATTGAATTCAAATAATGATATTTATACATATTATTCTAAGGTTTCAAATTTTATTTAATAACTATTCAATTATTCCAGAATATTTAATAAAACGGTATCGACGTTCTTTCTCTTTTCGTTTTCTTTTCGTTATCGAAGTTTTTCAGCGAAGTTCTTTTTCAGGATGCCATGTTTGATATGTTAGTTAAAAACTGCAGACAGTTTTTAACAATAATTTGCCAAACAGGCCGAGAGTATAAACGAATAAGTTTAATGTTAGGCAAAAAAATGTGGTTACCATCCTAGGATCGGAAAGAATCGAACTTATCCCCGAAGTTCTCACGGCGGTGAGAAACCAACAAAAGATCTTTTTTATGTTTGATAAATGAAACAGATCTTCCCATCTGTTGCCACCCATGGTATTTCTCATCAAAATTTTTAAGAAACTGTATTTTTTCCTATAGTGTAAATGAATAGATAGATAATTTAGTTTTGGGGGACACTTTCCTTTCTCCGGCAAAATTAAAAATTTAAAAACACTGAACAAAAAAAAAGAATAATTCTAAATATTATATGATCGTGCCTTCCTGAATCATAAATTTTTGATCCTTGAAATAAAATTGTACTTACTGCAACTGAGAAATGTTGAAAAGAGTTATCAACCGTCATTAGTTGAGCAGAAGTGAACTTGTTATCTGCCAGTAGCTGGCAATCGTGTTCGCCGTGCTGATTCTTGTTTTTTCCAAAATTTCCAGAAAAGCAGTTGCCGTTAATTAAACACTTGCCTTCGCATTGCGTTAAATTTCTAACGCTTAAGGATTGTAAAATATTTGTATTGAGTCGCTCGTTGTCAGTCTCTGCAAAATTACCATAGCTAACGCCCTTCACGAAGTCTCTAACAATTTTCTGCTGCGAGAGAGGTATGGTGAAGCAACATACGACGAGAACTTTGACGATAGATGGAAAGGGCTTTGACAGTGCCATAGTAAAGTGTCGTTGTTAATACGTAAAAAGACTGAAAGCATCTAAATTAATGCTCTTGAATTGACGACATATGTAACCATAGAGTAAGTAAGTGTGAGTGACAGTGTGAGCTTAAGCTTTTTAATGTCAATGATAAATTACTTCCATATTAGGCTGTGTAAAAATCATATCATCTTGGAATTCGTTGCGTTGCATAAGAAAGATCTACTGAGATACTAATTGCGCATGCCTTACTTAGAAACAAAGAAAAAGTTTAAATATTCATATGGCATTTATGAGTGACAGGTTTTACTATATGTTTTTCTTCGTTCTGCTTGTTTTTTCATTGATTTAATAAACAGCTTATAACGTGCCCTTGCCTGGTTAACACCGAAAGATAAAAACGGACCAATCGTAAGTATAATCAGGTAACTCTAAAAAACTTGATGAATGATCCTTATTTTTTTCCCTCCTATAAGAAGAGACAGTTATTGGCGGGTGAGGGATAAGTAATCCTACAGATCATGAGCAATGACATCGCGGAATATCACTGTTCTTACGCTTGGTTTATGTGAATTCTGTCACTCATTCAGGTTTCACTGTCACGCAATCAAAAGTAAAAAGTGAAAACCATTCAATTCAGAAAGTCCACAATCTGGGAAACAAAAGAAGATAAATGTACAAGAAAAGCTTCGCCAGAAATTAGGTCTGTGCGATATTACATATACCAGGTATTCGGGAAAATTTTTGCGCAAGCTTTGTATGGAGACGCCATCTTGGTGTCCCTTTGAGGGGCACAAATATGACGGCCGGAAACCAAAAAAAGCATCTGTCTTTGAGTTTTCCTACAAAATAGTGAATACATCACTTGAGGAATTCATAAAGATAAAAGTAATATTCATTCTGAGACAAGGAATGGCAAAATCTCAAAAAATTGGTAACGTTTTTAGCACACATAAGAGCTTTCTCGGCCGTCAGCTGAATGCAGCGTCACGCAAAAGCTAAGAAATTCAAGCGTCCTCTATCAGAAAATCAAGAACCCTTTCAAACCGAACATTTTTGTAAATAAATATGTTTAGCTGCTGTAATACCTCATGAAAGTAGAAACTCAGAAGACAGGGGCACCCAACGAGGATATAGTTCAAAACCACTTAACATAGCATTGTTGAACGTATTTTAGTATTCAAACGGTAGATATAGGCATATTTTTATCCCCTAAAAACTTTTCATCTGTTCGGATTTCCTAGCTGAAAATCTAGTGATCCGAAAATTATAGGGATAAAAACTTGCCTTCTCGAAAATTTCAGCCAGGAAAAGGCTCCCGAAAATTCTAGGTGGTCTTTTTTAGGGTCAAAATCGGTTAAAAATGAGTAATTATACCATTTTGTAGAAATCCATCCTCAAGATGGGCTTTTTACGAGGCTCATAGTGTGAAATTATCTTCGTCAATTGCTGGTGGCTATTACACTGACTTTTTCGGAATTTTTCCAGTTTACTCTTCGTTTTTCGTTTAAGAGATGTTACAAGGGACGAGTCGCAACGATGATTTTTAGTGCAACTTAGTTGCGAGCTACAGGTTGATGCCAGTATAGTTCATGGGTGCGTGGAACAGGCTTTTACACCTTGTAAACAGGCTCAAAAACCTTTCAACGCCAACGAATTACACCCAAGTTTGTTTCGGCAATTTTCCGCGCAACGCCTTTTGAGAACGAACCATTTTTGCTTTCTTTGTTGTGCTAAGAATTGTCCCGTGTAAATTCTCTGTTTTCAACGGATTTTGCGTGCACGTTTGTGTGGGCTAAAAATTTTCGGTGTGAATTGTTCCGTGAGCTACTACTACATCCAGAATTGTTCATGGGAAATCGCCGTCGTCAATAAACAGCTCAAATTCAACTTTATTAAAATAATAATTTATTTTCAATTGCAAATACTACAAAATGAGGCTGATCCGCAGCCGGTATAACTTAGCTAATATAAGCGGAAAAGTCAGTCATACTGACCAAAACATTTAGAAACGAATAAAAAGACTATTTTAGAAAAAGTTAACCAAACGCACCCTACGATTGCCAAAAAAAGAAAAAAAAAAACAATTCGGACACAATGTATGTTCGAACGTCGTCAGTTACGTCTGAACATTTCTGCTCGCTCTTCAGGTATGTCAAGCTCAACAAGCTGGCTTTGCCAACGCTTCAGCATCTTCAAGGACTGATCTTGTTCCCTTCACAAGATCCTCCATCTTTTCTCTCTTGAAGCTGACGTCAAACTCGGTCATCAGTGTTGCAAGCTGTAAAAATAGGCAATAAACACTTGGTTACATCAGCATTAGTTTCATCAGACAGTTTTCTTGGCGCATTGTGGCTCAAAATAAAGTAAAATCCAGCCTTGGTTTCTCTTATTCACTGCTAGGCGATTCCCTCCATTTCAAATGAAATGCAAGAGGACATTTTGTTTTCAAGCTATTTTCGAGAAATCCACTAGCACGTTTGCCGTTTTTATCAAGTTAAGAATCCGACCACTTTAAACCCAAGAATTCACACCTCTTGGGCAGAAACTATCTTAGCCTACTCCAAGGAACGAAAAAAGATCAACACTGTTGCATTCTTTAACGGATAGAATTCTCCACTTTCAGGCTTTCTGTTTTGAGAAAATATTTGACAAAACTTGTGCTAGGAAAATGTCAGCAATTCAATTTAAATGCCAGGTTTTTACTAGATTATTTGGCGCATAGCTTGCGATAGCAAAGGGACACGCGGTACCTTTTGAGTAGTCATTATGAATTCGCCTAGTTGTGAGGGCTTGTGTTCTCCGAGACCTCGACGTAAATAGCGAGAATGGACTGGACAACAATTGAGAGTGTACAAGGCTGCTGCTAACACTACTCCAGGCCAAGAAGAATCAGCGGTTTCTGTCACCAGCTGGCTTGCGGTAGTTTCTTCTGCCATCAACTCAGCTGCGCACTCGACCCACAATTCTCCTGGAAGGATTAATATACAAGCAGTTAACAATACATTGTTTAAAAAGCCGCTAAAATGCTTAGTTTATTATAGGCCACTTGCACGATGGCATCATTTTACTACTACGAACGGAATCCTGATCGTTTTTCCTTTCATATTGAATTTGGTAATCCCGGTGAGGTTTAAATAACAAAGGCCCTAATTTGCACAAGAAAGTAAACCCCTGAAGATTTCTGGTCGTAGTAGTAAAATGAAGTCATCGTGCAAATGGCCTATTAGAACGCAAAAAATAAAAGTGTCTTGAACAACCAGAACCTGCTGAAATTCAATTGTCCAGTCATTTTGTGGAAGGAAAAAGGCGAGCTAGCCTACAAGTATTGCTGCAGATGGTATTTTGACAGTTTTCGCTTTGCAACTACTAAAAGTCCCCAAAGGAAAATTGCTCGAAATCGGAATATATTGAAGTCATCTGAGAACCGCATGAAAAGGGGGTGGACTAAAGCTTTGATCTCTTAAAGGAAATTTCGAATCAGAGGCAGCTTCTGTTAGAATGTTGGGAAGGTCTTTTACGCCGTAAGCTGGTTCGACTGGATTTTTTGAGGGGGATACCTCCCAAGATTGAGCATTAACTACGTCGCCATGAGTAAAGATATGGGAAAAAGATTACCACAACTGTATAATGTAAAGATGAAACTTTCTTATGATCTGGGTTTTATTGCAATCGGAGTCGCCATAGCAACGTAACGACGCCATTACGTTTTTTATTTATCTTTGTGCTTCTCTGTACCAGGAGTTTTTTTTAAGAAATCGCTTAAGGGAGTTCGTACCTACGATAATTTCCTCCATTATGGCAAATTTTGAACAAATTCTATGAGAGCGTTTTTGAGATATTTTGAAGCATCATAAAAACAGTGAAATAGCATGCTATCCACACAATTAGCTAACTTTCTAAGAAAATGAGAAGCTTGGGAAACGCGGCTTCATCTCATAGTGGTTTGATTCCATTGAAAACTGTGTACAAAAAAAGAGAAGAATTGCTCCGCGCGATCGCGAGTGAGAAGAATTTTAGTTGACTTTCATTCAGCTGCTATTGTTACAGTTTTTGCACGTAATTTGGTCCATGCCTACAAATTTCGCATTTTTCAAAACACTGCTCGATAAATTTGGAAACAATGCCGGTGAATAATGAGGACGCTCACTTGTAAACACAAAACCTGGGGGGAAAGTTGGTTATATTTGAGGCCCTATTTAAAAGCCTTCTCTGTTTTCAATGTTCTTGAAACTTGCAGGGTATATTTATTAGCAAGCAAGTTTTTTGAAAAATGCGAAAATTGTAGACATGGACCAAATTACGTGCAAAAACTGTAACAAAAGCAGCTGAAGCGATTTCTTAAAAAAAAACTCCCGGTACAGAGAAACACAAAGATAAATAAAAAACGTAATGGCGTTGTTACGTTGCCATGGTGACTCCGATTGCAATAAAACCCAGATCATAAGAAATTTTCATCTTTATATAACACAGTTGTGGTAATCTTTTTCCCATATCTTTACTCATGGCGACGTAGTTAGTGCTCAAACTTGGGAGGTATCCTCCCATAAAAATCCATTCGAGCCACCTTAAAGAAAGTCTGGTTAATAAGACCTGCGTTGCGTTTACCTTCTAACTGGCTATTTCGAGTCTTCTAACCGGACCTCACGTTCAAGTTGTGTGTTTCTTCTTTCCTGAGTGGTCCTCGAGCCAATTTATTGCCATTTTATGTGTTTTATTGGAACTGGTTTGTTCTCTTTATAATCCGTTCCAGTAAAACGCATAAAATGACCACAAAAGCACACAGGAAAAAAGAAACACACCAGTAAAGTAAGGTTAGCAAATTTTTATTTCAATACTTTCTAATCCCCACGTTACAAAATTAATTATTTTTCACCGTAAAAATCCTTATATTATATACAGGTTACGCGACCGATGCTTCGATGCTCATGTTTCGAGCTGGTCCCAACTATGGTCAACGGTCCATTTTCAGAGCCTTAAGTATCTGTTTCAAAAGAATTCTTTAGTGTTACATACCTTCACTATTGCACCCCACTAAAGCGGTGTATCTGTGAGGATTAACACCGTTTAGCTTGAAGCCCTCCATCTTTGACAAAACGGGGAGAGAAACCTTCAAGGCGTCATTTTTAGTCTTTATATCCTGTGTTTCAATTTTGGTGATGGGAACTGGCTTCTTCAGCAAACCTAAATCAAACAAACGTCTGACAGCGTTTAACCACTCTGGGCACTTCTCCTCTGGCACAAGAAGAACTACCTCTCTAGTTTCAGTTGCCATAGCGGCCTTGATGATTGACAGCACACTGAAGCCTTCCCGGGTGGAAACACTGCCTGATGTTACTATGGCAACAGAGGTGGCGTGACTGAGTCTCAAAGCTGCTTGAGCCAAACTGTCGTCTTTTAGCCGATCGCGTTTCTCAAGTTTAGCCAGATTTTGAATCATTTTCATTGACTTGTCGGAAAGGACAGAGCCCAAAACGAATCCTTCGGATATGAAAACCACTCGCGGTTGAAGGGTACCTTCCTTTGGGACATGCATCTTGTTAAAATCTTCATTTACGAGATCTGTTATAAAGTTACAACAGTTTCCAGACGGGCTCATGCTTACGTTTAAGGGAAGTTCTGAAAATTTTACAAAATACTGATATTAGTCATTTGACCCAAAAACGTGCCACAAGATTCAACGGTAGCCATCCTTTCCGGAAATCCCCAGTTAGCCTGTTCCAAGCGTTCAGATAGTGGAGAGCGGAACAGGCTAATCCCCAGTTATGAACACAATCAAACCTGAATCGGGCGTTGTTACAGTCAATTGAAACTGCTTCTCCCCTGCAAGGGGAGGGGATTCTCCATCATATTATACATGTGGGTATGTGCCGCCCCAAAGGGTATGGTTTTTGTGCTGTTTTGATCTGAAAACGTCTGTAGACTTTGCCCATTTTGTTCTCAATCGGGTATGGATTTTGAAGAAACTACAGGAATGTATGAAGTCAACGTATTTTGTCGTTTCAATTCAGAATGAACATGAAAGAAAAAGTAATATGTGAATTTGAATGCATTTTAAGAAATCTTGTAGTTGGTGCTCTAATTTAAGTAAAGTTGACAGAGTCTCTGCCTATTTAAGAGCCTGTCTGAAAACTGGTTAGTATGGGGGTTGAAAACGGCCACTATTTTTCACGAACTCAGCACGTCGATTTAGGTAGAACTGAATAAAAATTAAAACCACTCGAACTAACACGATTAACTGGTAACAAACAAGAGAGTGAAAAAAATACAATTACAGCAATTTTAGTAAAAAAGTGTATGAGAAGTAATAAACGAATGAACCATTATTACGTAATTATGATTTTGTTGTTGTTTTTTACGCTATAACTGTCTTTTTTTCTTGAGGATTGCAAGTAAGGCGAGAAACGGTTCCAGAAATTTGAATTGTTTTGGCTCTACTGGCAATTGTACCTTATAACAATTTTTTTGTACAACCTGAAATAAAAAAGATGTAAATTAAAGATAAACCAGCTTCCAGTGACTAAGGCTCACGTAAGCTTGTGGTTAAATCGTAGCTCGACGCTACAGCTACACGACACACAAGCTGCAAGCTTCACTCTCTATTCCATGCTTGGAAGGCGGAGTTGGCCACACTAGCTGGTATGCTATAACTGTTACTTACTTGCGTTAGCTAAAGCTTCCTGAGCAGTTGTTCCACAACCCCAGAACAGACATACATCCCCTTCCAGTATATTTGGTTTATCATCGTATTCAGGGTGATTCAAATCCTTTACTCCAATCCAGCAAGGGTGCCCAATATGTATAGGGGCCCCGTGCACAAGGTCCAAAACAGCAGTCACCTCAAAGGCCCTCTGGACCAAGTCACGAGGCATAGGGCGCATCGAACATACTTGGTTTCCCCAGAAAGGGCCTACTGGGAGGCAAGGGATCTTGGTCTTGTAACTCGGCACTCTTCGGTCCACCTGTTGATGACGAACAGGAAGATCAGCACTCGATAGAGCATGCTCGAAAGAGTGGCTGCACCCGAGGTAGAAAGTCACGAAGTCATCAAACGGAATGTCGAGGATGTCTGGAACGTTTTTAACGCAGACTCCGCTCTGGTATATCCCATACGCTGACTGGTCTGTCCTGTGAAGTGATTAACGTGGTGTCATACAACAGTTTCTTTTAATCAGTAATCCCTCTTTTTACGTCTTCAAAGTTGATTGTACCAAGACAGCCCTTGTTTCCAGGGTCCATTTCTCTTTAACCATAGTTATTAAACTGGAATGGTTATGAAGACCGTTAGACTCCTTTGTTATATGTTCTTGATTCTTGTGGACCTGACGGTGCACAACGTTCAATAGCATTTTTATCATTTTGAACTTACTGACCAATTGAAACATCGCTTTTTTTTCTTCAGTCACAATTTGTGAACAAAAAACAGAGCATTGTGCACCGTCAGAGAGCTTCCAACATAAACTACAGCGCCGTTGCTTTCAACTTTAGCGTTTGCCGGCTTTCCTAACCAGCCTCCTGTACTGTCTATGCTTATACTCAATCAACAGCGGTTAAGATGATGTCTTAGTTGAAGAGAAAGTCCTCGGAAAGAGGTGGACGAATATCATTCTTTTCCAGCTCCAAGCTTCATGCGAATTTCCATTGTAAATATTTCAGTTTATTAGTCAGAATTTAATGGATTTTCTTCAACAGCCGGGTACAACCTCGTCGCCAGGGTCCTCTCGTTTTCCAATATGGCGGAGAACAAGAATACCCTGGGAACGAGGTTGATGCTTGGTACTGAAGTTCAGTGACTATAGGGAGCCCTCCCTTCCTGAGAGGGCTAAATGAGTAAGTTCTCTACTGATGTACCCAAGAAAGGGCGAGACGACAAGAGATGAGACAAAACCTGGTTCTGTGTGCTGAGAAGGTATATAATTATATATATAATATACAATAACTTGCCTTATATCTAAATCAGCAGCTATAGGTGGAGCTGTAACTTGTCCGGGTTCACTCTTATAAACGACAGGACACGGAGCATGGTTAAGTCGGCAAAATTCAGCAAAGAGCTTTGCTTCAGCCGAGGGCACAAAATGTACGCTGACTTGAGTGTAAGGAGCTGCAATTCCTCCAGACTGCACGAAAGGAAAGAAGTTCTGCCGAAACTGAGCCCTGGCTTCGGCTGGTGTCCAGTTTGCTCTCTCTTTAAACGATAACATCTTGTGTCTTAAAAGAGAAGATGCAAATAATGTTTTATGCTTGAGACGTTAAGGTTCATAGGCCGAGCTTTGTAAGGGTAACTTTTTGTTGCTGACAAAGAACCGCCAAAGTGTATTTTTTTTGTCCTTTTTTAATCATAATATAGTTTGACAACTTTTACAGTCCTGTGTCTTAATATTTCGACCCGCCTCACACTCTTTACACTCTGTGCATTTTCAAAATTGACCTCCCAAAATTAAGCCTCTTAGAAAATCGTACCCCTCTCCGAAACCAACACCCCCCCGCCACTGAGACGTAATAAACGATCAGTTCCTTAAAGAATTTGGACGCATAAAGCTATATTCATAAACTCTTGAAGTTATTTTCATGTGTGTTATTTAATTTCATGATCAGATTACTACAAGTCTAATTGCGTGCAAAAAATCTACGTTACTCTAAAATTTGTAACTCGGTCAAAAATCGTCCAAAAGTTTTGATTTTGGTCACTATGGAAAGCTTATGAAATGTAGTTTCCCAGAAAAAAACATCTTCTGATGCGCCGTAGTCTCCCTCACAGCCGTTTTTTGGGGAACGTTGCGTGACATGCAAAAAAAGAGAGTGTCTAATCGTCGCGGGTCACGGGTCGCCGGGACGGGTCGCTGGTTAAAAAATAAACGTTATTCTTATCCTCGTTCATTCCTATCTTTTTTGTAGACTAATTACTTAGGTCAAACGAGAATTACAACTTGGAAATCCATTATCTTTGAAAGCTGCCTCTAACGTCTATCATGTTCATTTAATTTTCTTGCGTGCCTATTTCTCGCACTCTTTGAAGTGAAACTCGTCTGTTTTTAATTTATGTAATGCGTGAGGACCACCAATGACTCTTTTTAATCCCTCCATGCTTGATCCAGCCATGTCTGTTATCCAACCTCTTGGGTTAAAAAAATAGCTATCATCTTTCTTTTTCTTCCTTAAAACTTCGTTAAAACAGCTCCAAAAGAGTTCAACGTTGTAAGCGTCCTCTGTTTCGCATTCCATTGTTACGAGTGCTACTAGCTTTCGTATAATGGGGTGGTATACACTTGTGGTAAGGGATACAAATCCGTTGCACTTTTAACTTTCCCGTCAAAAAAAACAGAATTTCTTGCTTAAAATGTGATCTTTTGTCTCGTCCATATTCAGAGCAAATAATGCCTTTAGTTTACTGGTTTTGAAAACGAATGAGGGCCTCTCTGAGTTGCCGAGTCTGTCGTTAAGCTTATAAATGTAATAGAAAACTGTTTCAAGTGCGCTACAGCCTCAAAGTTATGTCCATGGGGCTCGTTGATATTTCTTGTTTCTCGTTCGATTTTTTCACAGCCATAAAATACATCCGTTAGCCCCCTCTGGGCCTTTTTATCGACGGAAATCTCTAACCTTTACTTCACCTGAAGCCTGAAAAAGCTACCCCTTTTCGGGCGAAGCCTTCCCATATAGGTCGTTATAGGGAGTACCCCCCCTCGTCTCCGAAGGAAAACTTTTAACCGTTAACCGCAATAAGTGTATTTCTCTGAAACTCGTGCGCAAATAAAGCTGGACTACTTTTGCATGGAAATTAGGTGGGAGAGTTAAATATTGTATACCGTAAATTGCCAAACGGATAGTGTTTGGTATTTGGTTTACAGATACTGAATTGAGTAATTATTCTGGAAATCACTTAACGTACGTTTAATTTTTATCGCATTTGCTTCGAAGGGGAAAAGAAGAAAAGAAAAACCTCTTACCTTTCAGCTCGATTGCCTCTAGATCCTAGAAGAACGGTACAGTTTCAAAAGACGAGGGCACAAAATTCCAACGCTGCAGAACCTCGGCGATCTCGACACTGACAGGTATCAATGAAATTAGCCTGCGAGAGCATCCGGTTTTCTCTGCTCAAGTTTCTAGTTTCACCCACATGCTCATGTTGCCTGCGTGCAGATGTCTCCTATTTCCTTTGTTCCTTTTCCGCGTGCAACTAAGGAAATAGGAGACGTCTGCACGCAGGCAAATGCTCATGCTGTATATAAAATAACTAAGATATTACGCCTGTTCTGATTGGCCGAGAGGAGTGTTTGCTTGAGGTTGTGGCGTCAAGATGTTTTGCTTTTCGCTCGCTAATCACGCAAGCACAAATTTGAAAAAGTTTTCGAGTTCAAAACTTGACAAGCTTACTTCATTTACCCATTCCTTCGTCGGTACAGTGAGACAGGCCATTGCGTGACACATAGAGGTTTAACTCACAATTTTTAATCAGTTCTCGTGCTTCTTGTGCCTTTGCAAAAAATCAAGAAGTGCTACACACTAAATCTACTTACTATTTAAAAAATATCATTTTTTCATAGGTTTAATGCAAACCAACAATTAAACCAACTCGTGACGGGAATCCCTTCTATTTTCTCATACTAAATTATCATATCTCGGTGAACATTCGGAAGTCAGCCAAGCGTGGTCATTGCACGCGTGCTGAAGAAGAATGCTGTCTAGAAACAATAGACAACTCCCAAAGCACAAACTCAGCCAAAACGCTAAAAATCTTCAATGTTTACTCAAGTTTGGGCTTGTAGAGAATAATGTCACAGTTTTTCAATGACCATGAAATTCGGAGTCCGGGTAGTTAATCAATTGTGGCCCTGAAAAAATTTGAAGGGAAAAAAACTACGAATTTTTAAGAAAATGCTTTTTTCGTGAGAAGGACTCTTAAACGCTGACAAACGTCAACTAATAGCGAAAACTACAATTTCTATATGTTTGCTTTGCTCGAAATCGCGCGCATTTACAAGGCCCTAAAGCGTTTTGCTGACTTGCAAGGACCCATCTGTTATAACGATGCCCAAAATAAAGGGATAAGTCTCATAGTTTATTAGATATAATCGTGTAAAGTTTGCTTATCATTTTCGCATAAATTATGTCCTAAATTTGGAAACCACTGAATTTCTCGAATTGGGTCTTTGCGATTTTGGTGAAACTCTGTTCAGCGAAAGGCACTAATACGCACTATGTGTAGCCGAGAGATTTTCAGGAAAAAATGCCGACAACAACAGATTTTCGACTCACACCTCAAAGGGGCGTGGCATTATAACCACGTGACATTTACTCCGATCGCCAAAAATTTTATGTTATATTGTAGATTGATCTATATGTTATCCATTCTATGTGTTAGACTTACGATAAAAGTAAAGGTGGGGATACCAGAGAGCTTCAAAGTAGGATGGTACCCCCCCAAAAAAACTGGGTCGAGTCACCTTAAAGGACTGGATAAATGATTGGTATTGTAAGCCTTTGTTAGCAGGTGTGGTGTAGTAATGAGACAAGGAGATACTCACACTTTCATTGCTTTCTACATAATGTCCTTTATTAACTGAACAACTATCTTTATCCTAATCTGCTACACAGCCTTTTTTAGTGTCGTCACGCAACGCTCCTCCCCACCAAGGGGAGGAGCGTTGCGTGACGACGCTAAAAACGGCTGTGTAATCTACTTTCACTTAGTATCAGTACTTTTACTTAGTACATGTAGTTTCACTGATTTTGGTAATAGTACATAATCGTTAATATGGTAATCGATACACTACAGCAGGCTAAAACTAGAGTGCGTTCGCAGCTATACGCGTTATTTTGAATAACTCGTTTTTCTAACCCTAGCCTGAGTATCAGGCCTTCCTACGGGGCTAGGGGAGAGGAGATTTTAGCTCTGCCTTTTTCGCTTCCATTTTCCCCTTTTCCCCAGAAACGCCTGATACTCAGGCTATTCTAACCCCCTTATTTTTTCTGGACCTTCGACTGCTCCCTATAAAAGTCTGCTTTGATCCGAAGCGGTAACAAGTTTCTGCTGGGTTTCCGCCCACGTTTCCGCTTACGTAACATGGTTGTATTCGGAAGCATGGAAGCATTCGTAGCATGGCGGTTTTGTCGGGAGCACGACTGAGCGGCGAAACTTGAAAAACGCATGCATGCGCACGAAAAATAAAAACAGCCTGCCCGGATTCGTGGCCTTTTCAGCTGCCATCTCCTTTAACTGATTTTGACATCCTGTTGACAACTTATTTGGTTTCAGTTTTCCCAGCCAAACAGAAATAAAGTGTTGACAGGCTCAACACGAGAGGTGATATAATGTAAAACCACTGGGCGCCCGCACGATATGTGTGTAACCGACCCGGGCGGGGGATACTTAGGGAATTTCTGGGTGGGAATGTGCCGCTGGGACCCTAGAACCCTTAACCTATACCAGCCCTAGTTCAGCTGAATTTTGCTACCCTATGCTAAAGTAAACTCCCCAAATCCCCCCTATCCTAGAGTAGCTGTTTTCTAGAAACTACTGAGGTTACTAGCACAAAACTAGCCTGCGAGAAAGCTCTCCTGCTTGGGCGAGCGAAGCGAGCCTCGCGAGAACGCGCGAGCGACGGGTTGAGGAAAGGAGAGCTTGCAACGACCTCTCCTAAATTTTCATTTCCACCCCGAAAACCCCGGGACTCCGCAAAGCGTGAAAACTGTCACCGCAAACGTGCCGCAGATTAAAAAAGTGACAAGCCGAGGGCGCGTAGAATTATTTATTTATAAATCGGTTTCGCAACAGCATCAAAACAATGTTTTTAATTGCTGAAGATATGCTTTTTTTCCACGAGAACATCGAATTTCAAAGTGTCCGCTCGGATGAGAACTCAATACTTTGATTCTCGTTTCGTTTATTTTTGAAAAGTCGACTATACTGCAGTGTAGACTACTCCCCGTCGCAATCACCAACAAAAACAATACCAATATATTAGACTTGTATTAGTCCGTTCCGGAACTGGAGAATAGCGTTTTCCTCGACTTGGTTCTCTTAAGTTGTACTCCAGTTGCTATCAACTCTTTCTCTTGCCCTTCTTTACAGTCAAGCTACACAGCTACACTGTCAAGTACATGTTTCTGACTTTTTCTACCCAGTGGAATTCAACCGGGCGAAGAAACCGACGTTGGAAGGCAGCGCTTGAACCGGGCGCTTGAATCTCTCTTCACTTTCACTCTTCTCGTTTTCAGAACTAAACAAGGCGCTTGACACAAACGAATACAACTGAGGAAGGGTTTTCATTTTCCTTCCACAAGAACTAAAAACTCGGTCCGACTTATCCTCGGCTCGCAATATTCTCTTTACGAGAACTAAATCCACGCAACGAGCCCCACGTCTGCTTTGAGGGGTGAAACAAGTTGTCGGTACCAATCTGATCCCCCTGAGAACCAAACTTGACACGCTGACGAAGGAGGTGCCAGCTTGGCCTGTTATCAATCAACTTTGTTTTCAGGAACGTCATTTTTCAGCCAATGGTATTTCCCTTCGTCTGACAGAAGTACAAATGAAATTTTGTGAGAGATCGTTGCAAGCTCTCCTTTCCTCTGCCCCTCGCGGCTTCGCCGCTCGCTCGCGCGTTCTCGCTAGACTCGCTTCGCCCGCCCAAATAGGAGAGCTTGCTCGCAGGCTAGCACAAAACAGGTTAGGTTACCAGCCAAAACAAAACCTAATACCACAGTCCCTAGTCTAGATAAAAATCTTCAACCAACCGATCAGTTTTCTGAAAAATGATACCCTATTCTTGACCCAAACGCTCTGATTTCGCCCCATGTAAGGGAATCCATGACAGTCCTGGATTCTGGATTCCACCCTGTGGATTCCGGATTCCGTGTACTGGATTCCGGATTCCAGCTCAGTAGATTCCGGTTTCGAAAAAGGGCTGGATTCCAAATTTTTTTCTGTTTTAATGCTTTTCTTCGCATTTCGTTTTCGTGTTCGAATCTTGCTATATCGAAAGACGTTCTTTACAATGCATAACAAGTTTGTTTTCTTTTTCGATTTATAAATTACGTGAAGAAATGTATTACTGTTCCGTAAGGGTTTATGGTATAATAATGAGAGGGACATTGGGTGACTGTCCACACCGCAACACCACGGAAAAAATAACAAACATCACATCACCGCAAAAAAACGTGGCGAAACACCGACACCGCAATTTTAAATTTTGTCCTTCGATTAATCTAATCCAAATCTCCATATGATTAGGGATCTCGGATCTCGGAGCTGGTTTAGTGATTAGTAGAGAGTGAGACTGACCTCAAGACTCTATTTTTCACTTACTCTTTTTTTGCGAACTGTATTTTCAGCTATGCAGATAGAAAAATGCTTAATTAGCAGAAACAAAAGAACTCTTGCAAATCACTCCTAAATATTCACGTTTATTCATTTGATTGCTACATAATAAAGTATTGGGAAAAGGTACAGTCATTGCCAGGGAAAATCGAGCTGCAATCTGCAAGAAAACGGCCTAACAAAGTTCGTGTGTAACTCCAAATCAATTTTTCCTACCTATGCCATATCATAAACCAGCGAATGTTAATCAAGTCTTTTGCTATCCACTAATGATATAATAGAAGGTTCATTTTGTTTGTATGTCGTTACATTCGTAGTTTTCATTGTCCTGTCCGAACGCCTGGAACAGGCTACGTCGAATCATTCAATCATGTGTTCAAATTCTTTTGGAACATTAAAACAGTATTTCGAAGTAATAGAACTGAACAAAACGTTAAAAGCCGCCAATTGCTACTCACCTCCAAACTATGACGAAGAAAACCTTGGTTCTTAACATGTTTTAGGACATTGTTTTTCGTTCTTTTTCTACTTTTTATTGGAATCATTGTCATAGCGCAAAAAACTAAATTCGGTTACCGCTCTTTTGTAAAACTTTCATTTATAGAGACACAGTAAGCTGTAGAACACGCGCATTAGATATCACTTCTTAACTTAGACTGTTCACAGTCCCCTATTTTTCCGTGTGATCGTCGAGATCGAGCGCGTCTTACCGTTAATGGCGGCCATCTTGATTTTCAGTCGTACCGAGTCTAACCTGGGGAAGAGTATCAAATCTACTTAGGGGGCGGGGGACGGTTTGGGA